GTGATTTAAGAAATGGAGGATATTGTTGATAAGCAGAATGGAAAAGCAGATGACATCGATTTGTCGACAAACACGGTGTCACCTCAGGACCAGAGTATAGCGAGACACAAAAAAGTGAAAACTTTTCAGCTGTACATGGCGTTTTTTGCGCAGGTAGTTATGAGATGATTTGTTTTAAAATGTATCTTTAACCAAAAATACAATAGGTTATCAACTGATATCAAATATTAGTAAAACTAGTTGGTACGAGTGATATCATGGGATAGTATTATGTATGATGATAATACAGCTAGTGCCACTAAGAATAAGGGATATCAGGCAATATTGGAGTGTCGAAAAGCCAGTGAAATGGTGAGGAATTATATGATACCTTATTCTAATAACACATAGCTTCTAAGTACGTCAGTAGATGCATATTTACATCATTAGACTAATTCCAGGTTGAAATTACACGATGTGTTTTAGACATACATTTCGGACATATGTATACAATGATGGCGGTTAATACGTGGGGTTATTTATTGTCTTATTAAACTTTCTCAGATACCAATGATCGTTACATTCGCAACCTTTCACCGAACAAAGACAAATACAGATCTAGAATTCGTGTCAACTTCTAATCTCAGTCGCCCTGCGGAGAGCTAGCCAAGGCTGGCTCGCCTGCCGAGAACTCTGCCAAGACTCTCCGCCTGCCTCGTGGAGACCTTGGCAAGACAGAACAAGACTAGCTTTATTCACTTCTCCAACTTTAGCCAATAAAAGCTCAAGGAGTAGCTTCCAAACATTCAACTCGTCTGTAGCCAATCACACGAAGTACTTAACACGTCATATACATTTGATTAATTGTTCGCTATATTAAGAAACTACACATACCAAACTGTCGGGAATAACAATCTGTCAGCAAAGTTTATATGGTAATTAGTTCTAACCAGTGACTCAAGTTCCGTCTAGGACCTTGTATAAACCCTATGGCAGGTTATGGGAAAGTGTTGAATGATATTAACCAGCACTTCACATGAACCCAGTTATCAAGTCGTACCAGTGACCGATCTCTAGGTACATGGAAATAAATCAGGACACAACATGAATATTACAAATGATAATGATACGGGCGCCGTGTACCATTATCATGTTACAAATGTGATAAAATACAACGTATTTCTTATCTCTTGGCTAAGTAAATTGACAGATTGGTGGAGTATATTTTATTTATATATAGAGAGAGCAACATATCTGATAAGAGTACTTTCTAATCCTAAACTGAGTTTTCACATCAAATACGTTTGGACCATGTTAAACGATGTCATGTAACCCCAATATTGCCACAATGGCAGTATTTAATCTGCCATACATTCTTTCTTAACCCAGTAGATGAGAATAGGTGCGCCCTCAATTTCACAGTTACGTATTCTTTCAGGAAAAAAATCAGGTGAAAAGATGGAACATTGCTCATCACACACCTGCTCTAATTCTTATGCTTCGAAGAATGTTGAGTTTTTTCCCTGCACATAATGCATCTTTGTGATTATGGTAATCGGAATACACTCACTAATGGCGTTGTAGCAGGCTGGTTGAATGAGGGTGCTAAATGTGAGCCCATTTGTTATTCACAGACTATCCCAGCGCTTCAGAGACCCACGTGTCACAACTCCTGCTGAGGACCGCTACATCCTCATCTCAGTCCTTCGTAACTGAACCGTAACTTCTAATTCCCAACGTAGGACCCTCAGAGCAGCAACTCGTACCAACGTGAATGACCAGACTGTGCGGAACCTTCTGAGGGCCAGAAATGTCAGGCCTAGGTGCCAGGCTGTTTGGCAAGTCCTTCTCTCACGCCACAGAACTGCTCGTTTAGACTGGGATCGACATCACTTTCGTTGGACACGTCGTCAGATGAGTGAAGATTCACTTTGCAGAACAATGATGGTCGTATTCTTGTCTATAGACGCCCTGGTGAAAGCTTCACTGATGCCACCATCAGACGGCACAACCAGTTCGGTGGTGGCAGCATCATGGTATGGGGTGGCTTCAGCTACCACCAAAGGACCCCTCTCCATGTTATTGATGGAAAATTAACTGGATTACGTTACAGAGACGAGACCCTGTGACCTATTGTGTTACCTTGTCTACAGAGGATAGGAGCTGCGGAAGTCCTACAGAATTGATTGGCCTGTTTATTCACCTGACATGGCACCAATTGAACATTTGTTGGATCAACTTGGTCTCTGTGTTATGGGCAATCATCCCCCAGCAGTGGATCGTTGTCAGCTAGATCAATGGCTGATCTAGTGGTGGCAAGCGATACCACAACGTTCACTGCAGAGTTTAGTGACATCCATGAGGCGACGTTGAGTTGCATGTGTTACTGCAAGAGGTGATCACACCCCTTATTGAAATGTTCCATGAACTGGGATTTTCATTTTCTACCCTTCTCTCTTACAGAACTCATGTAACGAAATGTGTAATGATTACATGCAGTCCTTATCATGTGTTTCATTGTGCAGATGTTTCACGTCAATTATGTAACCAATTGGGTTGTAACTGAGAACATTCAGGTTTTCCTTAAATTGTTTTAAGTAGCATATATTGTGTGATAAGTTGATCTATGATCTGTGTTATTGAACAACAATTAGTTGTGAACAAGAGTTACAATTCGTGTTAGGATCTTTTTAATATGTACAACGTTTGCGCATTGACCAGTTTCGTTGTAATGTGTAACAGGAAGTAATTCGCTGCGTTTGAAGATCAGTGGTATTAATTACTAGTGAAATCGGGAAGGGATTACGAGCAACATTACATAAAAATACCCCAGTTTCTTATTTCTATGACATATGGAACAAGTAACGAGTAGTACAGCCTGTGTATATCCGCTTATATTTCTTTTACACGCAGGGGATGTGTGTTGGTATCATTGGACCCAGTCTACTTCATCTCAAGCAACAAGTTGGAGTGACTTTTCAACAGATCACCTATGTATTTCTAGCACGTACCATTAGTTACACTGTTGGATCTGCAGTTGGTGCTCCTTGTTATGATCGATTTGACAACCAGTTATTACTTAGTTTTAGCATGCTTGGTACAGCTATTGGCATATTGGTGCCCTGGTGCAGCTCTCTGCCTATGCTTATTGTTGCCTTTGTCATATGGGGAGCTCCAAGCGGTTTCCAGACATTGGGTATGTATAATGAATTATGTAGAAATTTTGTTGGGGCATTGTCATTCAACATTGTTGAAACCAAGCAGCCTGGATATCATGTGACAAGAATGACGTAATTATTCTTCCAATTTGCATTTATTATTTTTAGGTTGCAACATGATGTGTCTTAACTTCTGGGGAAAGGAGTCTGGACCATGGATACAGGGGTTGCACTTTTCATACGCACTGGGAGCGACGATATCGCCTCTGATTGCAGCGCCATTTTTAACTTCGTATGATCACCCTGCAAGGAGCGATACGGGTACAGCCATTGATTCATCACAAAACACAACAATCGGTATAAATATCGCTCTCGATTATGTCACAGATACTCCATTTAATTTACTACAGTCAGTATTATCAGGGGCAAATGAAACGTTAAGGCCACTAAGCCAGAATATCACATATGACGGAACCACTACAGATACCATCTCAGTTTACAAATCAAAACCATTATCAGTAGGACGTCTCTGGATTCCTTATACAATTATTTCTCTCTACTGTTTTGTGGTTGCGTTATTATACATCAGTTCATTTTGTGCTGGCAACCGGAAGTGCGTCATCAAACAGAACATTTCCTGCAACACGAAAATACGTGAGAACGCTCAATATCAAGGCACTATATTTCGATGCACATTTCTTACTCTGATGTTTTTATTCGCGTTCTTTTATGCTGGTAACGAAGCCATTTATGGTGGATTCTTATACACATTTGCAATGCAGTCAGCACATAATTTCACGCCACGTACTGCAAGTTATCTCAACTCGGCTTACTATGGAAGTTTCGCTTTGGCACGTGGAGCCGCGATATGCGTTGCAATGTTTATCTCACCTGCAAAAATGTTAAATGCTGACCTGTGTGGCATGTGTACAGCAAGCATCCTGCTTGTCGCATTCGCCAGTAAAAACCTGAATATCCTGTGGGCTGCTACTATTCTGCTTGGTGTCTCTATGGCCTCTGTGTATCCAACAGGGCTTGCATGGGCGGGGGAATATATTGTTATTACGGGAACAGCCACGGCTGTTTACGTTGTTGGAGCATCGCTATCAATAATTGCACTGCCAATGTTGATGGGCTATTTGATCGAATCATTTGCCGCAATCTCTCTCATGTACGTCGTGCTGGCCATGACTTTTGGAATAACGCTAACGTATATTATAATGCAAGTTATAGCGCTTCGAAAATGCAGTGAAAAAGCGGGTCTATTTGCGGCTGGAGATTCTGATATGAATGGAAAAGTCACACATGTTTAGAGAAAAGTAAACAACATACAAAAGACGTTACTACTGTTAAGAATAATATCACAAATCAAAACAAAACTTAGAATGAACTCTCGCCTGCTGAGAAAATGGAAAATGAAAATTAAATAATCAATATGCATATTTTTCAACATTAAACTAATCACGTCTGTGGAATATTCAAGGGCAGCTATGTACCGAGTTACATTGAGATGTGATGATAATGCATATTATGAATTTTGGTTAAATATCATACTAGAATTTCAATTCCATAGATTCATTAAAATAAGATGATTAGTACTTGAGATATTGGTGGAAAGGCCGAAAATTGAAAATTGAAATATTTGTGAAACAGACATACTCATATATACACACAAACAAAGGTAACTGCAAAGACTCCAATTGGTGTTTCGCAGGCTGGTGTGATCTAGTTCTTATTTTAGCAATACCATTATCACCATGGTTACCTTTTGCAACTCTACTGATATCTTAGTTTCTCTGAGTAATGAACTCAAATAACCAATATTATCACCAGACTGTGACACACTAATTCACCAATTTGATAACAACACAATCATGACTATGATTTACTTTAAAATTAGCAACACACACATCAGTGATAACCGGACAAGGTCGCGTGAGTTGCGCCCTCCGCGGTGTTCCAACCCCAGGTCTGATGCCGTTCGGTGGCGAAGGCGCCACTCACGCCTACATGTCAGGCTAACATCATTG